ATTTTGATTTATCAATAATCACTTCCATATGCTTTTGAGTTTAAAATTTTTCTCCCCCTTCCTCCCCACCACCCTTCCCAAGACAGCTCACAATCTGATATAGGCTATATATTTACATTCATATTAAACATATTTTCACATTAGTGATGTTGTAAGTAAAAATTAAAACCTATAGGAGGAACCACCACAAAGGGGAAACAAAACTCAACAGAAGAGAAAAAAAACTAGAAAATAGAAAACAGCAATTCAACTTCCATAGTTCTTTCTTTGGATGTGGATAGCATTTTCCATCACAAGGCCTCTGGAGATGTCTTAGATCCTTGTATTGCCAGGAAGGGTTAAGTTTATCAATATCAGTCATCACACAACATGGCTGTTACTGTGTACAACGTTCTCTTGGTTCTGCTCACTTCCCTCAACATCAGACCATACAAGTCTTTCTAGGTTTTTCTGAAGTCAGCCTGTTCATCATTTCTTATAGCACAATAGAATTCCATCACATTCATATATCACAACTTGCTCAGCCATTCCCCAATTGATGGGCATTCTCTCAATTTCCAATTCTTTGCCACCACAAAAAGAGCTGCTATGAATATTTTTGTACATGTAGGTCCGTTTCCTGTTTGTGTGATCTCTTTGGGATATAGCCCTAGAAGTGCTTTTGCTGGGTCAAAGGGTATGCACATTTTTATAGCGCTTTGGGCATACTTCCAAATTGCTCTCCAAAATGGTTGGATCATTTCACGGCTCCACCAACAATGCATTAGTGTTCCAATTTTTCCACATCTTCTCCAACATTTATCATTTTCCTGTTTTGTCATGTTGGCCATTCTGATAGGGGTAATGTGGTATCTCAGAGTTGTTTTGATTTGCATTTCTCTAATGTGATTTGGAGCACTTTTTCATATGACTATAGATGGCTTTAATTTCTTCATCTGAGAACTGTCTGTTCATATCCTTTGACCATTTATCAATTGGGGAATGGCTTGTATTCTTATAAATTTGACTTAATTCTCTCTATATTTTAGAAATGAGGCCCTTATCAGAGAGACTGGTTGTAGAAATTCTTTCCCAATTTTCTACCTTCCTTCTAATCTTAGTTGCATTGGCTTTGTTTGTGCAAAAACTTTTCAATTTAATGTAATCAAAATTATCAATTTTGCTTTTCGTAATGTTCTCTATCTCCTGTTTGGTCATGAATTCTTCTGTTCTCCATAGATCTGACAGGTAAACTATTCCTTGCTCTCCCAGTTTGCTTATAGTATCAGCCTTTATATCTAAATCATGTACCCATTTTGACTTTCTTTTGGTATATGATGTGAGATTTTGGTCTAAGCCTAGTTTCTGTCATACTCTTTTCCAGTTTTCCCAGCATTTTTTTTCAAAGAGTGGGTTCTTATCCCACAAGCTGGAGTCTTTGGGTTTATCAAATAATAGATTACTATAGTCATTGGCTACTGTGTCTTGCATATTTAACCTATTCCACTGATCCACCACTCTATTTCTTAGCCAGTACCAAGCAGTTTTGATGACCAAAAGAAATCTGGTCTCCTGAATCTCAGTCAACAAATCCCCAGGAGGCAGCGCCCATCTTCGAGGAGCAGTGGAAAAGTTTTTTGGGTTCTCCCAGAATGGAGCTAGGGCATCTGTCTAGATCCATGGGAGGTAGCCACTTTTAGCAAAAGTCCACACCCCACCATGCCATCAAGTAGATTTGATGGGGAGGATGTCTCAAATTGATCAGAGGTTCTCCTAATCAATTCCCCATTACAATGATGCCACTCTCTCTTGACAGCCTTGTCTCATGCTATTCCACACTCCGGTAGAAATAGACCGTTCTCTGTCCCCCAAATATACCCTATGCTTTTCTACTTCCACTGGGTTCCCTTATGCCTTATGTGTCCTCATTTCTCCTCTTTATCTAGTTTCGTCTTTATCTAGCTTTAAAGTTCCATTCCCTCTGGGAAGTCTTGCCTGATTGCTTTGGCTGTAATGATGTGTTTCAGACCTCACATAGCCGTTTGATATGTACCTTTCAAAACAAAAACAAAAACAAATGGGGTTACATGAAGTCAGACTTGACTGAAAAACAACTGAACAACAAAATATACTTGGTACCTGAATACTTCAAAGGAGCCATAATTTCAGTGATGTGGGTGCTTTCCCCAATAACACAAACCCCAACCTATCTACTTCCAATGCACTTATCAGTTATTATTGTCTATTATTGCTATCTGACTATATTATCTCCCCCCTTCAATCTAATAAACTCCACTATTTTTATTCAAATTGAATAGCTGAGCAAATAATAGTCATTGAATAAATACTTGTCAAATTGAAATGAAGAGAGAGATAATATTTTTAGCTTCCTCCCGACTGTACTTTTTGGCCCAGTATCTGATGACCTCATCAGCCTTTTTGTAATAGCTCAGATCTCCTTCCAGGCAACTATGAGTATTCCAATTAGGATTACAATTATTCTAATCCCTCATTTACCTCCTCAATTTCCTGCTTTGGTTCTTTCTCTTCATCCTGACCCACCCCTAGATCCTAGGCAGGTAATTCCTGTCTGCCTTTACAATTCTCCCCACAGTGACTTAGAGCACAATTTGATAATAACTGAGGGGAAACCAAAGGCCACTATTGAACACTAGTCCTATGTTTTGGGTCTGCCAGGAGAAAATGAATAATCCAGTAATAACGACTGCTACCTGTGCATTACACCTGTCCCCCTTTCCTTCACCCATCACATCTCGACCTTATCTTTCCTAAAACAAGTGCGCCAGGTTCAGAGAGAATTAAGGTGTCATAGGATCATAGGGAATTTAGAAGCCATCTGCTTCACCTCCCTCACTTTATAGAGAAAGCAGCTTATTGGCTGTGAGAGGTCCTGGCAGAGAACACTGAGGTGCAGGGATGTGACTTTACTCACTCAGAGTCACATAGGTAGTAGTAAAATCTGTTACTGTTGGAAGAAAGTGACAAGAGATGAAGAGCTGAATGGTATCTAGAAGGGAAGGATGATTCAAGATGAATACTTGGGAGCCAGGAGTGAGGGATCATGGCTAAGCTGAGCAACTCATCCTGAAGATGCTTCTAGCCCTGTGGTCTTCTCCTCTGGCCTGAATCACCATTTCATGAGGTGCTCAGACCATCTGTGTTCACTTTGCTCTTTGCTCCCTCCCTCCCACTCTCTGAATCTTCATACCTCTTCCTAGCCAGTATTTTTCCCACCCAATTCATGTTCCAACTCTCTTTTATGTGTTACCTGCCCTCATTTGATTGTGTGACATGGGAGATCTTGGCACAGGACCGCCCAGCATGGCGTGCCCACATCGGAGAAGGTGCTGTACTCTGTGAGCAAAGCAGAACTGAAACAGCTCAAAGGAAATGCAGGATGTGAAAATTTAAAGAATCCGCCCCAAATGTTCACACGCACTATTTATGTCCAACCTGTGGTTGAACACTCTGAGCTCGTATTGGTCTGATCAGCCACAGTTGGACACATTGAAACTTGACTCTAGCATAGTGATGTCATTTTGGTCCTCTTCAAGAATGAAGCACAACCACCATCACCACCACCACCACCACCTTCCCTCATTAGAATGTAAGCCCTTGAGGATGAGGATTGTTCTTTTTATTTTTTTCTGTGTTGTCTCTCTAGCACTTGGTACAGTGCGAGGCCTTCAGTAAAGCTTAATAGATGCTCTATTCATCTCTCTATCTACCATACTTCTGTTTAGATTGTCTATATCAGCCTAAGGTAGGGTGGCGAACCTGGGGTCTCAAGGCCAAATTTTGGCCAATCCAAACTTTGACTGAATCCAAACTGCATTTGTTCTGTGAACAAATCCAAACTTCACAGAACAAATCCCCTTAATAAAAGGATTTTTTTCTGTAAAACTTGGACTCAGTCAAAAGGCCGCACCCAAGGACCTAGAAGGCCACATGTAGCCTGGAGGCCACAGGTTCCCCAACCCTGATCAATATTGTCTTGTCTAGACCTTCAAACTGGGCCACCACCTGGGATCGTGAAGCCTCATCTTCATCCCTGCCATTTCTACCCATGCAGAGGAAGAAAACATTAACAACTGATCAGCTCTGAAGATCCCCAAAGAAGCTTGCACACGAATGAGCCTTGAAGGAAGCTAGATTTCTTAAATAGGGAAGTGATGAGGTAGTGCATTCCAGGGATGGTGCACAGCCTGGGCTAAGCCTGGGAAATAGGAGATGGAATAATAAGTTCAGTGAACAGAGGTAGACAAGTTTGGGGAGTGAATTAAAGGGAATAATGGGAATTAAGCCTTAACCTCTCTGTTCCACAAATTTGTCATCTGTAAAAAGGGGGAATTGGACAGAGGCAGAGGGGTAAAAATGAAAGGTCAATGAATTTGTAGCTGGAGTCTCTAAGTGCTAATCCTTTGTTATGTAATAGCTGTGTGACCCTGGGCAAGTCAATTAATTTCTCTTGGCCTCTCAGTTTCCTCATCTGTAAAATGAGGGGATGGGTAGGTGATCTCTAAACCCTAAATCTATGAGCTTGCAACCAGAGACTTTCCCCAATCCTCCCCTGAGAAGGCAAAGGCCAAAACATTATCCTATATGAATGACTTCAGAGTTAGACTGAAGCCACAACAGGAACATTATCACGGACAATCCAGCCTATTCAGACCCCTCCCCCATTGTGCTATTGTAAAGGAAAAGCTAATATGCCCCAGGTGCCTGGAAGTGAGAATTTACCTGGTAGTGAAGTAACTTTCTAATTAATCATGATTGAGAGTCCTTTCTCCCCACCCCCACTCCGTCTTCCCACCCCCAGCCTGACAGTCCCACAAATGTGCACATACAAATTCATGAAATGACTTCTCAATTGGGTTAGGAGAGAATTCCAAGCTCCTGATCCATCCCTGATAGGTACAAAGGTACTGACCACGAAAAGTGCACATCCTTCCTCCTCTATAAAACCAGACAGCTAGGTTCATAGAGAATCAGAGATTCTCAGAGCCTCTGTCTCAGAGGTAGGCACCAAGCTTTCAAGTTCCTTCCCCTGAATCCAAGGTAAGTCATGGACATTATTTTCCTTGGTGAATATTTTCCTTTAGGGGAAAGTAACAGTTCCATTGACTTATTGCTTCCATTATTATAAGCAGCTGGCCTATTTTGGGTGTGATAAAATTAAGAAGCATCCAGACAAACGTATTATATAGAACTGTTCAACCCAGCACAGTGCCGGAAACAACTTTAACTAGAACAGGAGGGTAAAGAGACTGTGAATTGAATTTGCAGAGTCTCTCAGTCTGGAAGTTCATAAGAAGAGAAAACACTGATGTTTGAGGGGGTTGGTTCAAGGACAGACCTGTCTGGATGTGGGGTAATGGACCCAATGACCTATGCAGATCTGTTTTATCTGAGACATCTGTGATTATTACAGATATGTATCTCTTCTTGTCATCCTGCCCATATTGAAGATTGGACATCAGATAACTCTCCTCTGCTTTGGAGTCTAGTAGAAAGTGACTTGAACTTTTACCTGGCTTCAGAGATGGGAAATAGTGTCTTGTAACAGGAGGTTCATTAGATTAAGTGTCTGAGGATCTGAGTTCAAGGCCTGTCTCTATCACATATTTCCTGGGTAGCCTTAGACAAGTCATTTCATCTCTCTGGGCCTCAATTTCCCCATCTGTAAAATGAAAGGGTTGACCTAAAGTGATCTCTAAAGTATCTTCCAGCAGAAAGACTATGATTCTATAATCTATTCTCTTGACAAATTCAGTCCTCCTCTTGTGCTTTATTAAAAGCAAGTCAACTTTAATGGGAAGACTTAATAAAAGTGACTCATTTGAAAATTCGACTTCTTACTTTCTTTCCTGGAAACCTAATTGTTAGAGTCAGGACTGAGTCAGGGTGGCAATAGGGGTATGTAATGCTTACATTCTTACCCATTGCTGTCCTCTGATAGATATTTCTTTTTTTTTTCTTTTTTTTTTAACCTCTCCCAGTTAGAACTCAATGCCCTGGAAGGCAGGAATTTTTTTTTTTTAATATGGGATTTTTATAACACTTTAAACTTGGCAAAGTGTTTTATACACATTATTCCATTTGAACATTCTAATAATCCTTGGAGGTAGACATATACCCATTTTATAGATGAGGAAAAGACAGAGACAATATTTTTTAAAAATCACCACTTCTTAGGCATCTATTATGTGTTTAGCACTTTATTAAGGTTTTAGGAAAAATACAGTACCTGCCCTCAGAGAGCCTAGTAGGAATGATTCTCTTTGTGTAAGAGATGGGGAAAATAAACCTTTAGGGAAGGAAAAGGGCCTACTTGTACATAGAGCCAAAGGTGAGAGACCTAGGGGCCTGAGACCCACTCAATCCTCAAGACCTCTATTTCCCAAAATGCATATTTTAATGCATATTTTTGTGTACCATGTTACCTTCTTTTTTGCCATGGGAAGTTATAGGATCATAAATCTAGAGCTAGAAGGGACCCTTAGATATAAGATAAATCTAATTCCCTCATTTTACACATAAGGAAACTAGATTGAGAGAGGAGAGCAACTTGCCTCATGCCACCCAGGAAATTGAATGGAGATAAAAATAATTATGGTAAAGAAAAAAGGGAGAAGAGCAGAATGTGTGTGCGTGTGTGTGTGTGTGTGTGTATGTACATACACATACATACATAGATACACACACACACACACACACACACACACACACACGACATGTCCAAGGACCTGGTGAACTAGGCATTAGAGTGTCTTGTAACAGAAGGCACCCAAAAGCATACCTTATAGAAATGGTGCATCTTAGAGCTGCAGGGATAAGGGAAAATCTCCACTTTGTGCTGGCTTCAATGACCCTTAGGGCTAGATCTCTCTATGGAAGCATGTAATATAACAGTTGTGTATGGTAGGTATGGAGAGACAGATTGATAGACCAAGGTTTGAAGGGAAGAAGAGAGCTAAAACTAGGATGGAATGACCAGAGCTTTGTCCCAGGGCACTGAAATTTAGAAGGTATTTAAAGTGCTCCCATTCCTTCACCATCGTAGGGAAAAAACGGTCTTAGTGCTTAGTTAGCATGAAGAATTAGTTAAAATAGGAAGCTACAAGATATACTTTTTCCTTATCCTCACTCACTCTGGCCACTAATCCAGTTGAGCTCCTCACTGGCCCAGGCTCATCTGTTCTTCCATACCTCTCTCATCACATTCATGTATATCAAGGTCTTTGTTTCTCCGTAGAGGGCCCTTATATCTCAGGGTCTCTCCCTGTTCCCGATAGAATTTGCCTCACAAAGTTGACTTGAAGGTATCTTTGGGCTCATCACTCCAGGCACCAAAACGCCTCATTGTGACTCTGGGGGGTGAAGGTGAACTGATCGATCCCTCAGTATGCCTCAGAGAACTCGTGAATGTTCCACCAAGTGATAAAGTTTGGGAAACACTGTTCTAGATTCCCTGATCATAAAGTTTTCCCACAGCGGTTTCTTTGTGCTTATGATCCTGTTATTGGCAGACTCCAGTACCTGGGACCAAAGACCCTGTGTCTTCAAAGCTTTTCCCCTGAAATGCACTAGTGGTCAGTTAAGGAGTGCTAACCTTGGTCATACCATGACACCTCCCTCTGTTTCTGGCAGGAGTAATTCATTCCTGTACAGCGGTAGGAAGGAATGCAGATGGCTGTCTTCTCTTCTTCCCTGTTTCTGTTCATCTTTGTCTGGAGCACAGAGCTGGGAGCTGAGGGTCAAGAATTCCACTTTGGACACTGTTGGGTACAACGGGGAACTCTTCAAGACTTACGGAGGGCCTTCCAGTCTTTAAGGAGCACTGTGGTAAGTAAAGACACTATACCCAGCCTAGCAGGGCTTCATTGTGAAAATGATGTGATAGGGGGAAAGAGGATGGGAGTAAGCAATTTATTAAAAGCTTAGTATGTGCCAGTCACTGTGCTAAGTGCTTTACAAACATTATCTCATTTGACCCTCAAAACTGCCTTGGGAAGTAGGTGTTATCATTAACCACATTTTACAAGGGAGGAAACTGAGGCAGGCAGAGGCTAATTGACCCTCCTGGGGTTACACAGTGGAAAAATCACTGGCTCTACTCTCAGATGATCTGGGTTAAAATCATGTTTCTGACACTATCTGACCATCGGCAAATCATTTAATCCCTCTGGGCCTCAGTTTTCCCAAGTGCCAAATTAAAGAGTTGGACTAGATGGTCTCTATTTTAAATCTATGATTCCATGAGCCTACGGTGGTATTACCAGAACCCAAAAGGACTGGAGCAGATCTTCCAGGCATTAGCCACTTAGAGAGAAGTTGGTGGAGGAGGATGGGAAGTACAGTATCGTTTTCAGGCCTCCAGAATCTCCCTGTTCTATCAGGCCCATGCTGCTTCCTGCCTTCTCACCCAGTCAAATTATGGGACAAGAAGGGATGGAGGTGGCTAACCTGAGATGTTAATAACATGGATATGTGTTAAAATCTAAGTGTACATTTCTCCTGAGCTTCAAGGGACTCAATTGAAAGTATTAAATGAAAATATCATAAATCCTTGGAGTAGGAAGTAAAGTAGCAATGACTGGGGGCTCAAAATATGAAATGTTAAGATAGGAAAGGAAATGAGATGGAAAGAACACTAGACTGGACTCTAGTCTCAGCTCCATCAGTAACTAGATGTGAGATTTGGGGCAAGGCATTCCATCTGTTTCTTCATCTGTAGAATGGGTATAGTGGTAAACTAGCTAGTTTCTACAATCCCTTTCAGCTATAATTACCTACAAATCTAAGATATTCTCATCAGAGAATGGGGCAATGGCGTCTCCAAGTGCTGGGGTAGGTCAGGCAAGTCAGGGCAACAAACATTTATTAAGATCTTAATATGTGCTAGGCACTGTGCTGTCTGAGGACAGCAATGCAGGAAAAAGAAAGGTAGATCTTATTCTCAAGGAGCTTATATATTCTAGTTGAGGAAGACAACACACAAAAGGGAACTGAAAAGTTCAAGAAGTGAGAGGTTAGAAAGATAGACATGAGGATATAATCCAGAGAACCAGTAGCAGAGCTGAAAGGGGGATGAAGCATGGCCCGTTGGGTCTGGCCCCATAGTGGAGGCCCTGTGAGGAAGCTACCATTGGGAGAACAGAACTAGAGAGGCCAAGGGTTGTTTCAGGGTAAGAAGGCCCCAAGAGTTGAAGGAAGTCCTGGCATGAAAGGGTGACTGAGGCATAATGGTAAAGTCCTGAGAGTCAGAAGTAGAGCCAGGAAGGGAACGAAGGCCCAGGAAACTCTAGGCCAAACTCAGGTAGCTCCAAACTCAAATGAAGGCATCGGATTAGATGGTCTTTGAGGTTCCTCCCAGCTCTAAAAACTGATGATCCTAGGATATTCCACTCTGGACCCATAGAGGAATAGCTGAGGAAGGTCAGATAGGCCCTGCCCGGGATCAGGAACTACCTAAATATTTCATTTTCCAGAAACACTTGTCTTTTGTGTTGGCAAACACAAGAGAAGCCCCTTCAGACTTCTCACTCATGGTGTGATTCCTAGACTTTCCCTTTCTTTGGCCAATCTCTCTTGGGTCCTCTCTCCATTTCTCCTTCAGTTTTATATTGGTTGGGTTGAGTAGCATGTTAACGGCTGAAGGAGTGTGGCAAATTATTTGCAAAGTTGAGTCCTGCTCTATTTACCTTCTCTGGCATGACTTTCTCTTTCTGTTCCCCAAGCAAGCCCTGGACCACAACACAGACATCCGGCTGCTGCGGCAGGAGTTTCTCCGGAATGCCTCGGTAAATGGGTCATTCAGGATGGTGATCGGGATGGAGAAGGTGGGAGGCGCCACATCTCTTTGCCCAGGGCCTGGCTTTGTGGCTCTGGTCTGCCTCAGGCTGACTTAGGGATCTGGGAGAGGCTGATCTATCTTTTGGAGAGACTAAAGTCCTTCACCTCTGAATTGGGGATGAACTTTTTACAGACAGCACAGAGGCTGGTGAATTCAGTTACTGGGGATGATGCAGATAGGAACTCAGCCCCCAAACATCCTGCCTGCATTATTCAGAAAATGATCTCAACTTGTCACTTCATCTTTCCTAGTATAGACAACTCACGTGTCTGCTTTAGATCATGACCCCAACCTCTTTCCCACTTCCTCTCTCACTTTCTCTTTCTTCATCTTGATCCTTCTTTTCCCCTACTGATTCATTCACTCATTCATTTATAATGAACATTTTTAGCAAGGCACTCTTGTTGATGCTATGGAAATACAAAGATGAATGAGACACAGTCCTCACTCTCAAGGAGCTTGCTGTCTCCTCCTTTTCCCTCCTTTATCACTTCCTTCTTTCTTTCTCATGATCACATCTCTCACCCTCTTTTTATTCACTCATTCAATAAACATTTATTCATAGAAGGCCTGGAATTTAAGAACACCTCAAAGAACCAAGTTGCCTCAATTAAGAGTGCATATTTAAAATTCATAAGACAAAGAAAATAGAGAAAAGATGAAAATTTTTATCTCAGAGTACAATTATAATAACATTTTCCTATCACTTGATGTGACTGGCTCTCATATTATTAAGTGCTGGCTATGTACAAAGTACTGGGCCTTTGAGAGAATACAAAGATGAGTGAGACACAGTGCCCACATTCAGAGAGCTTGCTCTCTTTTTCTTCTCCCCACTTACTTTTTCTCTCTCTCTCTTTTCACCCCTTTCTTCAGCTACATGCTCAAAAGAGACAATAGTCCCAAATATTTCCCAGATATTCCTCTCCTTGGTTGTAGAAGGTTATCATTAGGGTCCTTCAAGACCCAGGTGTACTTTTTCCACACCTCTTGCCCTAGGTGACGCAAATATTATCCAATCTAATGGATTTGGGGAGGATAAAACATCCAGGACCAAAGAGCACAGAATGGAGGACCTTGGTAATAACTAGCCTTCTTTCTCCAGTTGGCTGAAATCTGTCACCTCAACTACTCCCTGCTGAATTTTTATTTGAGCAACATTTTCAATAAGTACCACACAAAGGCAGAGGAACTTGGGATCTTGACACCATTCACTACTTTGGCCAACAACTTCTTTGCCATCCTGAAGAAACTTCAGCGTTGTGTGAGTGGGGCCAGGGGCTAGGGACCGGGGCCAGGGGTGTCTGCCTCTCCAGACTGTTACTGACACAAACAATGACCTAGTGTTTAGTGAGCTCAGTACCTTGGACAGGGAGGGCTTGGTCTTACTTCTCTTTCTCCCCTCTCTATCACCTCACCACTCAAAGGACATGTAGTTAGAGAGAGAGAGACAGACAGACACACAGATAGAGACAGAGACCGAGGCAGAGACAGAGACAGAGATACACACAGAGAGAGAAGTAGATCTATAGATGTAGGTATAGATATAGATAGCTGGAGCATTTATTAAACACTGATTATATGCCAGACACTGTACTATTTGCTGAGGACATGAATATAAGCAGAAAAAGACCCTCAAAGAACTTATATTCTAATGCAGGAAGGTAATCCAGAGAAAAGAACTGGAAAGCAGAATGGCACCCACACAGGGGCAAAGTTGCTGGAGTGGAGTTATAAATGTCCAGAGAATGGGGAGTATATCTAAATCATTGCCTTTAGAAGTAAAGAGTTGATCATCACTGGAGATCTCCATCATTGGAGATTTATTAGGGATACCATGGAAGTGGTTCCTGCTCAGATATGGGTGAAACTAGACGGACCATGAGGTCCCTTCACTGATCACAGTGAAGAGCCGGGACCAATGGTCCCAGGTGAGGAGAGCCACATACTAGACTCTCAATGGGAAGATCTAGAACAAAAAGAAGTCTCAGTTTGTACCTTCATGGAGATTGTGAGTCATCTAACATTTCTAGGGACTGTGGTAAACACCTACACATCCAAATGTGTGAAAAATCAGCACAGCAAAATTAGTGAGCTGAAGAACAGAAGGGAATTGGCTAAAGGAGGGGCCAGGATGGGGTCAAGATTAATCAGGAAAAATTTGTAGGATAATAGAATCATAGATTTAGAGCTAGAAAGGACTTTGGAGTGGGGGGTAAGAACAAGCATTTGTTAAACACTTCCTATGTGCTAAGCACTGTGTTAGGTACTTTGCAAATATATCATTTGATCCTTACAACATCCCAGTGAGGTAGTGCAGTTAGTATCCTTATTTTACAATTGAATAAACTGAGGCAGACAGAGGTTAAGTGTCTGAGTGTCTAGTGTCTGAGGCTAGATTTGAACTCAGGTTTTCCTGACTCCAGGCCAGCCACCTAATCCAACTGTGCCACTGTGTCACTTAATCCAACTCCTTCAATTTATAGGCAAGAAAAATGAGATTCAGGGAGGTTATATAATTTGCTCAAGGTTACATTGGGAGTAAGCATCAGAGTCAAGATTTCAACTCAGGCCCTCTGACACTAAGACAGTGCACTTTTCAATGCACCACACTGCCTCTAGGGGTGGCAGCTTTAAGAAACTTCCTCTCTGTTCAGTAGATACACTGAGGATACAGATCACAGCACCATCCATTGGGTACCTTTAAGAACCTATTTGTCCCCCCACCTACCCACCCAAAAGAGTGTCCTTCTCTAGGGAAGGAGGGAAAAGAGACCTGTACACTGACCCCAATTCTCTTGTTCTTTCTCTTCTCCAGAAGGAAAGAGGGATGTTTTCTTTAAGCGAGAGTTCCCAAAGGAAGTTTCAGCTATTCCAGCAAGAATTTACAAAGGTATGAATGAAGTCCTGGGGAGTTTGGGGAACTGAAGGGTGGGTAGAAAACAAAGATCAGGAGTTTGTTGGCCTGGTAGGTGTTGAGCAGCTTCTGCAGAATGAAAAGTTTAATGATAGACTTCAGGGTGGGTGGATCCATTAGTATCATTCCAAGAAATATGTGAAATTACAAAAGCATAGGCCTAGAGTTGCAAGAGACCACAGAGCTCATTTAGCCTAACACCATCATTTTATAGGAAAGGAAAATGAGGCCCACTGAGTTACATACATGACTGGCCAAAGGTCACATGTCTAGAAAATATCAGGCAGAATTCAAACCCAGCTCCTCCGACCTCAAACCTAACACCCTTTCCACTGGACCAGGATGTATCAGGAGGTCAGTGGGTGTATTTGATTTATACTTGTCATGGGCCCCACAGAGTGTGATTGTCTCATCTTCTGTCCCTTTTCCATGAGAGGCTATTATTACCCCTCTCCCCTACTTGATTATCTTGTGGTTCTTTCTCTTCTCTTTTTTTTCTTCCCCTGGGGCTTACTGCCTCTCGTTTCACAGATAGCATTTAAGAGTTGCAAGGGATCCTTGAGATCATCTACCCAGTTCCTTTATTTGTAGATGGAGAAAACAAGACTCAGAACAGAACTCAGTGGTTAGCACTGCACCCTCCACTTGGCTAATACCTAATTTCTCTTGCCCTTTAGTTGAACCCAGAAGTGAGGCTGACAAAGGCCTTGGGAGAAGTGGACATTCTCTTAGCCTGGATGGAGAAAGCCTTTCGGCCATGATGCTGCAGCCCACCTGCTATCCAAAATTCCCCACCATTTCAATCATGTGCCACGTCCTGTGACTTTTCTATGTGTCATTTCTTCCTGCCAGCGATGTTGCTCTGTGCTGAGGCTGCTCCCAGCCTCTCTACATTCCCTTTTTAGTAGTCACAATTCAGCCACTCTACTCAGGGAGGCTACACTAAGTTGCTGTGAATAATTCTCAAAGCGGATGACAAAATGCTGGCTAGTTGTAAACTGTATTTATTCCAAATGTATTTAATAATTTATTTTTATTTATATGGAGTGACTATATGCCCTTTTTATTTATATGGGAGGACTATAAGAGGACCAGGGTTCAAATCCTACCTCTGATCCTTAGCACCTGTGTGACCTTGGGCAAGTCACTTAATTTCCCTGGGTTTCAGTTTCCTCTCCTATAAAAGGAGGGAGTTGAACTAGATGTCCTCTGAGGTCCCTTTCAAACTGGATCTTGGATCTATGGATTAAATATTTCTCTTGTGTCCCCTGTGGTGCCTGGCACAGTGATGGGGGATCCCCCCCCCATCAATAAATACTGAATTGAACTGAAGGTGTGACTGTTTTTTCCCTCTTTCTCCTCCTCCTCTTCCTCCCCTTCCTCCCCTTCTCTTCCTCCTCCTCTTCCTTGTTGTCATTAACATCTCAGTGACTGTCATCCTCCTCCTCCCCCTTTCTTCCTCTTCCTCCTCTTCATCCTCCTCCCTCTTTCCTCCTCCTTCTTCTCTTCCCCCCTCCCTAACACCCCCCATGACTTAATTGTCATTGGCACTCCAGGTGAGGAAACTACAACTACTTATGCAAATCACCAATTATTCTGCAATCTGTAGTCTTGGAGAGTTGCCTGGGGCGCTGGAGGTTTGTTACCGGAAATTTAATAACATCTGTGCCCTTTGTAAGTTGAAGGTTTGGAAAACAGACTGTCCTTGATGCATTTGTCAGAGTTGGAACACTGGAACACTGGGCTAGGGTAGCCCACATTTTTTCTAGAACTTTCCACTGAGAGAGAGCCTAGACTACCCATGCCTGGGAACCTTAGTCCAGGCTCTTCACTGTAATCAATGAAGTTCAAAGAGACCTCCCCTCTCCCTTCCCAGGATCTAGGTCCAATTTTAGCTCTTCTGCTTTCTTAGGATCTCTCAGGAAAAACCAAAAGCAGTGAAAAGGACCAACTTTGCAATTCATTCCCCTTTTTTAGATGTTTGATCCCTTCATTTGCTTTTTCATCCATTGCTCCACTGACTGCCCTCAGAGAGGAGGGTAGTGCCAGAGCAGACAGCTGACATTAGCACACTCGCTGAGACAGCCTGTACCTTAAATGCCATTCTCTGTTAATAAAATGCATCTCTGTTGACTCTTGACGACTTCTTTCCATTGATGGATAAGCTTTCAGTTAGGGAGGGAAGATAGGAGAGCTGGGAAATGCTACCAAGGATACTTGGAGGAGAGGTAGACCAGAAAGTGGGAAGGGCAGAGTGATCTCTACTTCTAAGAGCAGTACTGGACCCAGCTCTACAGCTGATAGGATATCAACATGTCTCTGGCTGACTTTGACCTTGTTTTAGAAGCCCAGGAGAAAAAAAAATCTGTGGGCTGGATTGACAGGTGGACCCTGGGCAAGTTGTTTAACACTCTTTGCCTCTGTTTCCTCATCTGCCACATGAGCTGGAGAAGGAAATGGCAAACCACTGCAGTATTTTTGCTAAGAAAATCCCATATGGGGTCATGGAGAGTTGGACATGCCTAAAGTGACTGAACCACAGCAACGTAGGGGTTGATCAGAGAAGGTCCCTGTCCAATTTGATAAGGTTACCTCGAGGCAAGGTGAAGGTTATGGCTTTGATTCTATCTCCCATGTCCATTTGACCTGTTCTCAAGTCAGTGTTGATGAATTGGGATCGAACTGATTGGCTCTTACTGTTGTTGAAAGAGTCATCTCTGTGCCAAGCCTATAATAAAAGGAGTGAATTACAAAGCTGGTCCTTTTCACTGATTTTGCTGTTTCCTGAGACATTCTGAGAAAACCAAAAAACTAAAATTGGGACTACATCCTCGGAAGGCATAGGGAAGGGGGCCTGTGTATGCCCACAGACTCTGCCTTTAGCCCCTGGGGGAACTGTTAACAGCTGCCTTGGGGCACAAGTACATCAGAGGTAAACATGTTTTCACCCGTATGGCTGGAGAGCACAGGTCCTGGCCTCCAATATCTTGGCCCTAGCCTTGCAGAGGCAGCTACAGGAGCCACACAGCCAAGTGGTGGAAGTTCCTGAGCCCAGCCCCCTAGACAGAGGAAGGAGGATTTCCAGGGCAGTGCCAGCTTCAGGTCTGCCTTCCTATCAGTCCTAAATTCAAGAACTCCAAAACCCAGTCCTCTAGAGAGATAAACGGAGCCTCTTGGGGAAGAGGGGATTACATGTGTGGTATCCATAGCTAGAAGAAGATAAAGCTACTAAAGCCACAAGGTGGGAGAGACTTCAACTTTGCCAGACACAATTAATATGATTTGTTTGGACCGTACCAGTCTCTCTAGCAACCCCATGTTCATTTTCCTTCTCGATATGCTGTAAGGCTAGAGAATGTTATGTGTCTCTTATGTATGAGTGGGACTCACTGGAATGTTGGAGTTACCTGTTTAGTATCTGTAATTGCATTTACCTCCTAGGGGAATCAAAGTCCTCAGTACAGTACTAAAAGGGCAGCTAGGTAGCACCATAGTGCACAGAGTACAGGGCCTGGAGCCATGAAGAATCATCTTCATGAGTTCAAATCCAGCACTAGCTGGATGACCCTGGGCAAGTCATAATCCTATTGGCCTCAGTTTCCTCATCTGTAAAATGAGCTGGAGAAGGAAATGAAACCATTCCAGTATCTTTGTCAAAAAACAAAACAAAACAAAACAAATGGGGTCAGGAAGATTGTACTAAGTGATTGAACAATATAGTACTCTAACCTGAATATTTATTTGGATCTCTCGGATAAAAATGTGACTCACTAGAATATTTTTGTTTATGTATATGGGGAGGGGGAGAGTTGCCTGTTTAACATATTCAAGTTTTGTTTTGTTTTGCTTTTGAGGGTTCTACAGGCCATAGAATGATGCTATGAGCCTGGGAGACAATACAGGGCCCTGGGGAAGATAAGACTCACCAGAGATGGGGGGAGAAACCCATTATTTATGGGTTATTCTGAATCCTTTATTTATTTTCCGCATTTATTGAGGAGGCAGAATAGAAGTTGGTCTGGATCCAATATATTCCTTGTTAACTGGGTACTTATGTAGAACCTGGGAACCCTTTTTACCCTTATCTGCTGAGACCTGGATGTGAGCTATATTCAAGCTATACTATGAGATTTTCCAAAGGCAGCTCTGAATGGGGGTAAAATGAGCCAAGGAGACAAAGATTAAGGTAGGGAGGGGAATTGCCAGGGTTGAATCCAGTTTGTAGAAGCCCAAAGCCTGGAGAAAGGGTCCATGAATTAGACCTCCTCAGCAGTTCTCATATCTCATCTGTACCTTCTACCCCCAGAACCCCTGGAGCCGAGAGCTCCTCCCCAAACCTCTATTTAAGGAGGGCCCCCAGGCCAAGCATCTCTTCATTTCCCATGGGGCTACTCTACTTTGGCCTTCCTTCTCCCCTCTCCCATCTTTCCTTCCCTTTAACCCCACCTCCTCTCAGCTTCCTTTTATGTGTTGGCTTCCCCTTTGGATTGTAAGCTCCTGGAGGGCAGTCATTGACTTTATTTTTATATTTATATCTCCAGCATTTAGCATAGTTCCTGGCACATAGTAGGCACTTAATAAATGTTTATTAACTTCCAGCCTCCATGGAAGCAAAGTGGCCTTCAGAGATGAGTAGGAGAAGCTTTGGGGTGTGAATGGGCTGTGCTCAGGGAAGACAGAGCCCCTGCCTCCACCTGGGGAAAACAGCTAGGGTGGGCATGCAGAATGTGCCAGTAGTAGAGCAGAGTCAGTTCTGTGCACAGCTCAGCAGCAAGCCTTGTTGTCATGGAAGCCCAGGCCCAGTGGGCAGTTGGGCATCTGAGTCGAGCAGGAAACATTGATGTAATCATGTGAATCACAGTCTTCTGGCTCAGCAAGACACAGGGGATAGGTGCTCATGTATTCATTCTTCACAGGGACCGGTGCCTGGAGCTGGGCAGTGTTAGAAACCTAAGAACAACCAAAGAACCGTCACATGGACTGAGTGGGGTGACAGAGGCCCAGTTTCCCTAGAGGGCAACAGAGCATGTGCCCTATGAACTGTGAATTTTTCACCATTTTAAGACATCTCTTGCAGGAGAACTTTCCCCATCCTACAACTAGTACCTTCTCCTCTAGAGTTACTTTCCTTCTGTTCATTATTAATCTTATAAAAACCAATTTATGTATATGCTTTCTCCCCTATTAGAACACAAACTCCTTAAAGGAAGGAACTTTTGGCTTTTTGTTTGGGGGGGGTGGCACAATGTTTCTAGTACTTAGCCCAGAGGTGGGGAACCTGCGGCCTTGAGGCTACACATAGCCTTCTGGATCCTTGGGTGCAGCCTTCTGACTGAGTCCAAGTTTTACAGAACAAATCCTTTTATTAAGCAGATTTTTTATGTGAAGTTTAGATTCAAAGGGTGGCACTTGAGGACCTAGAGAGCCACGTGTGGCCTTGAGGTTGCAGGTTCCCCACCCCTGATTAGCCCAACACACAGTAAGAGCTATATAATAAATGTTTGTTGATTGTTTGATTGATTCCAGAAGATGAAGAACCTTCACTGGTCTCTGTGCTCAGTGATGGCCTGGGGATTTCCAAAGCCTGCTCAGGGGAAGGTAATCCTACCCTGGAAATCTAGAAAACATATAGTGCCAATCAAAAAGGGGATTGCCTTAAAAGGAACTGGGTTTCTAAAATTACCAGACATTAGATTGCTAGAGACTAGAGCCAAAGAAAGTGTTATCCCTCCAGGCTGTATTACATGACACATGATTCAAATATCTACCTTCTTGGCAAGTAATTAGGAAGTCGGGCTGAGTCAGGAGCCATCTTTCCTATGATATGGTATAGTGCGTTAGGAAATTTGCTACTGAGGTATTCATTCCTGAAAAAGGCTAAAGGACAGTTTGAGGGGACTTCAGAGACCCCAGTAGAGACAGAAAGAGAAAGCAGCATTCCCCTCCTGGGAGAGAAACCGCACTCTACCTATCTACACAGTGCTCGGCACATAGTAGGTGCTTTTTGTTATTGTTCAACCATTCTTCAGTTGTGTCTGACTCTTTGTGACCCCATTTGGTCACATCTTGGCAAAGATACTGGAGTTGTTTGCCATTTCCTTTTCCATCTCATTTTACAGATGAGGAACTGAGGCAAACAGGGTTAAGTGACTCATCCAGGGTAACACAGCAAGTAAGATGTCTGAGGCTGGATTTGAACTCAGGAAGATGAGTCTTCCGGATTCCAAGCCCAGTGCTCTATCCACTTCACCATTCAGTTGCCCAGTAGGCTCTTAATAAATATTCACTGGATTGGATTGCCTAAGAGATCTTTAGAATATCAGTTCCCAAAGGATGGACATCGGTGTGAGTTCCTTATAGGTAAGGTGCCCTGAACATTCCAGTCATGGGCAAGGCATGTGCTGCTACTGATCAATCAACTGACAAGTGTACACTACGCACCTGCTATGTACCAAGCACTGGGAAAGCAAATACAAAAATGAAAGTCATGATAATAATGGTGTGTTTGAGAAGCCATAACCAACAGATAGTGTCTTTTCATCCTATGTGTGTTTCCCTTTAAGCCATTCCCAGGATATGCAAATACATAAAATACATATTTGAGGCAGAACTATAACTAGGCTGGGGTGATCAAGACTTTGCCCCAGGGCATAAATTTAATAATCTAGCATTTATATAGCATCTACTATGTGCCAGGGAGTACGTTAAGTACTTTACAAATCTCATCACATTGGATCCTTATAACAACACTGGGCTGTTGTTATTATCTGTTACTGTCAAGTACTGTTTTTATCCTCATTTTACAGATGAGGAAACTGAGGCAGAGAGAAGTAAAGCAACTTGCCCAAGGTCACACAGCTAGTAAGTGTCTGAAGCTGGATTTGAACTCAGGCCTCCAAGCCCCGTGCTTTATCCATTTTGCCACCTAGCTGTCTCAAAAATTAATATAAAAACTTACTCCTTCCACAGAGAAGGAGTTAAGAGAATGAAAATTCAAAGGGTTACTGGGGATTGATATAAAAGATGTTCAGGATGTGGGCAGTTATGGGGACACTGGACTGCAGACTGTTCATCTTCTCCCTTTTGTTCTACAAAAATATCCTCATCCCATCTCCACCCTTCTTTCTCTTCTCTTTCTATTTTCCCAGCACACTCCCCTTCCTTCTTAAGTAGTATCACTTATCTCTAGCAAAGAGGAAGAACAATCCCAATACTACCTTCTTTTTCCCATGGTGGATGACAGAGTACCTCAAGAAGGCCTCTCCTAATGGAACATAAAGAGCCTGGCACCCCAAATCCCATGGGTTGGACCAAATGACCTTTGAGGTTCCTTCCAATAATGAAATTCCAGCTTCTAAGGCACCGCAGTAACTAATTCTCCCTCCCATTCAACTGAATTTGTCTTAACGACTTCCTGCGTTATTTTCACATCATGAATTACACATTGGATTTGAGAGAATGTATGCTACTGGCTGCAGCCTTGTTTGGGTGTTGCTTACTTTGGGTAGTGGTTGCCTTAGAGATAATACTGCCAGCAATCACTTTGGTTTGGGGCATTTCTTTGCCTCCTGGAAGGATTCCTCACAGACAACTTCTAATTAGGAAGCTCCCTAGCACATTTAGAATATATTCCACCTTTTGAAAAGAGGATTTATACTGGTGGTGCACTGTGAGTCAGGAGATTCCCTAAGAAGCTGAATCACCTTAAGAAAATCACTTCACCTTTCATAGCCTCAGTTTCCTAAATTGTATGCCTGGCAATATGCTCATACTAAGAAAATAATCAAAAGAGAATGATGGGAAATTGTAATGAGCAAGTTTGACTCCAAAGAAGATGTATGAGGATGTACCTCTCTCCCTTCTTTGCAGAGATGGGGGCAGGAAGGGACTATAGGTGTCAAATACAGTGTCAAGTTTGGTTGATGCATTGGTTAGTTTTGCTGAACTGCTTTCTTCTCTTTTATTATTCCTTGATAGAAGCAGGAATATACTGGAGCCAGCTTGTTCTGACTCATGAGAGCTGGTTGTTAAATTTTCAGTGTGAGCGTTTATACTTCAGAAATTGGCAAATACTATAAATTAGGGGTTGGTTTTTGTTTTGTTTTGTTGGCTACATAGACTTAAGAAAGAGATGGAGAAAATGTTGATGAAGTAGATTTAACTTAAAAGTATGTCACATGTACATTTTTCACCCCAGAGAGCCAATTGTTAAATGTTTACTAGCACTCCCCTGGTTATATGGGATGGCTCTTTGGGAGAGGTCAGGGGAGAGAAATATTGGGAAATATGGGTGATAGCAAAACAAAAGATGTCAATAGAATTTTAGAAAGGAAAAGGAGCACCACAATGAAAATCAGGTGACATCTCCTTCTTTAAAGTTGAATTTGTGCCTCATTTTCAAGGGAATCTCTTTGTTGGTTGCAGGCAGTGTAAGAAAGAGAAAAGAAGGAGGGAACTAAGGCCTGACATCCCCAGGTGACTGTGATTTCCTGGTTGAGAAGCACGTGGCCAACCTGAGACCACTGTGTGAAGAAACTGACCAGAGGCCAGGAGTGAGTCCGTCAGGGATGGGAGAAGCAGCAGCTACAACTGTTAGAAGTTTGGAAAGTAACTCAGATGCTTCAGACACGGGGGGTTCACAACTTCTGCTAAGAAGATAACATGGTATAGCAGTGCAAGCACTGAGCCGGGACCCAGGTGACCCGAGTTCAGACTCTCTTCTGCATCCTCTTTCTAGGTAATTTTGGGCAAGTCTCTTTTTCTTCTTGGGCATCAATTTCTTCTACTGTAAAATAAAGCGGTTCGGCCAGCAAGACCTATCCAGCCCTAAGATTCTATAAGTCTAAGAGATGATGGGAATATAAGTTTAGATCTGGAAGAGACTTTAGAGGTCGACTAGTCCAACCCCCTTATTTTCCAGAGCAGGAAACTGAGGTACAAAGACATGAAGTGGTGGGGGCCACACTGGTAATAAGTGGTGGAGCCCAGCTTTGCATCCAGAGCCATGGAACCAAGGAGGTCAGCAGATGTATGCAAATAAAGATCAAACTGTTTCTGTTCATGCTTTCAGTTCCCGGACAGCTCCCAGTAGGGTCTGCCTTTCGTGCAAGTGGAATAAACAGGTGCCCAGTAAGTGAGGTGATCTGGAGGGCCAGCCTCGGGAATCCCCCTGCTCAGAAATGATCTCCACTGGCCTGTGACACAGGCTTTGTGTTAGGAGACATCCCCTTTTTAAAAATGCAAATTCCTCCTGGGCTCATAAACACTTGAGGTTATCAGTCATTCACACTTCAATTTGTTATCGTTCAGTCGCTCCCCACTCTTCATGACCTCATTTTGGGGTCTTCTTGGCAGAGATACTGGAGTGGTTTGCCGTTTCCTTCTCCAGCTCATTTGACAGATGAGGAAACTGAGGCCAACAGGGTGAAGTGCCTTGCCCAGGGTCTTACAGATTAGTAAGTGTCTGAGACTGGACTTGAACTTGGGTTCTCCTGATTCCAGGGCTGGTGCTCTATCCACCGTGCCACTTAGCTGCCCAGGCTATTGAATATAGTCAAATTAAATATCCCTCTCCTATTAATTTTAAAAGATTATCAAGTGATTATTTTCTATTTCTCAAAAGAAAATAAATTAACTTAGTTTGCTTTTTACTTGAATATGGCCCTTGATGGTTTATCCCCCCTCCGAATTAACAGAAAATAAGGGTCCCCATCCATGATTAGACAAATGCAAAAAGAAAAAGGAAGCTAGGTGATGCAGTGGATAGAGTCAGGACCCAGAGTCAGAAAAAACCAAGTTCAAATCTGGCCTCAGAGAGTTAGGAGCCTTGTGATCTTGGACAAGTCACTTTACCTCTAGTCTACCTTAGTTTCTTCATCTGCAAAATGAGGATAATAATAGTCCCTGACTCCCAGGATTACTATGAGGACCAAAGGAAATAATACTTGAAGCCTCAGTTGGGCAGAAAGTGCACTGGTCTAGGTAGGCATCAGGAGAACCAGGTTTAAATACCATCTCTGCCTTGGATCTAATGTGTCATCTTGGACAAATCACTTCTCTGGGCCTCAGTTTTCTCATCTTGAACACGTGAGTGTTCTCTTCTAGCTCTGACAACCTATGACTCCTGGGCCTGAGGCCTCCAGCAGCAGATGGGCAGCTTTGAGTTAGATCGACTTGCTTGGCATCCTGGCAAAGGCTTGGTATCCTGGCAAAGGCACTGAATCTGACATGCTTGCCCATCTTCAGGGCTGTAAAGGTATCTTTAAGGTTTGAGGAGCACCTTATATTTCTCTCATTTTAGAAGTGCTTGTTGATTGGTTGCTGTATAGAGCCAAGGCACCAGACTTAGTGGACTAGGAAAGAAGAAAGAGAGCCTTGAGCTTAAGCTGTCTTGGGATGGAACTCTGGGCCCGAGAGCCGTCCACATGACTTCTAGATATCCCAAAGGTTGTTACTCCTCTTCATTTCTGCCTATTGCCAGCTCACCTGTGCATTGTGACTGGAGGGCCCTTTGATTAGAATTGTTTGCCCCCAGAGGAAAGAACCAAACAGAATGGATAGAAATGGTTGATAGGCAAATTTAGCTGTGACATCAAGAAAAAAATAAAACAACAACTCCCTAAAAAATAATTAGAGTTATCGTTCATCCTTCGTTTTTTGAAGAGGATTAATGACATCACAGAGTGGTGTCTTGATTTGCTCATGAATTGGGTTTAAAGGAGGCAGAGTTGTACAAAGTGATCAGCCTCATTCTCCCTCCCAAAGTCATCGAAGTCCAGTGGCAAGACAAAAGTCAGGACAACTGGCAATGGCCCAAGATACAGTGGATGACCCTGGCATCTTTGATGCCTCACCAAACTCCATAGTGCTTGCTTCTGCCACCTTCATGGCCATTGAAACAATGCTTGACGTAGTCATCTCCCTAATTCACCAACAACTTTGAGGTCTGTTCGTTACCCTCAACCTGGTTTAGCCCATCTGCCAAGATGGTTTTAGGGAGATGCAGCTGCTGCAAACGCTACAGCTTCTTGGAGTCAAAAGTGAGAGTTGGGTGGCAGGTGGCCACCAAAGGTAGATGAGCATCTCTGAAAAGGATTCTTGAAGGCCTTACACCAGAGGTGCTAGTCCTCCCTGAACAGGTGGAATGGGCTGTCTCAGGAGGTGGTAGTTCCCCCACCCTAGAGATCTTCAAGGACAGCCTATGTGACCCCTTACTTATCAGAGATGTGAGAGCAGGATTCTTTCCAATATGGTGTAGACTAGGAGGCCAATGAGGTCCCTTCCAATTTTTAAATTTTATGCTTGATAACAATCACTAGCATTTATATAGCACCTACTATGTGTCACTCATTGTCTTAAGCACTTTATACATATTAGCATCCTGGCAATTGCCATTTACTAGCCTAAGAAAAGTCCAAGCCTCCATTTTCCTTATGTGTAAAAGAGGGACGAAACACCCTCCAACAAAGCTATTGTGCAGATTGCATGTGATAAGGGATGTGATGGCTGTCTGCAGGTGCAGGGCATTAGCAGAGGAGGTAAAGTGCTCACCTGGGTAGGAGTAGAAGGTTCTGCAATTCTGGGGCCTCTGGCAGGCACTTGCTCACCTGGAGGAAAATAGGATAGAAAGTGAGGCAATGTCAACAACATTCTCCCTCCTGAGCCCCATCTCCCAACTCTGTGTTTGGAAGGAACTATGGCAGCAGAAAGAGTCCCTTGGGGTCTGCTTTGTATACACACACACACACACACACACCCATATATACACACATACATATGTATGTGTATATGTATGTATATGTACACATATATGTATATGTCTGTATAAAATCTCCACTGATAGACTATAAGCTCTTTGAGGTCAAGAACTATTTAATTTTTGTCTTTGTATCTCAAGCACTCAGTGTACTGCCTGACATATGGTAGACACTTAAACCATTGATGATGATGATGATGATGATGATGATGATGATGATGATGATGACACTGCTAACATTTATGTAGCTCTTTTAAGTTTGTGTAGCACTTTATATTGATCTCAGTTTCTAAATTCTTGTCAACTGATTGCCAAACAGAGCCAAGGCACCAGAGACAGAACTTCAACAGAATCAAGGGAGAAGGAAAATAGGCCCAAGCAGCCTTCAGATTGAACCTCTGATCTGGGAGCCATCTGCATGAATTCTAGATGGCCCCTCAGGTTGCCACTCCTCTTCATTCATGTTATGGCAGGCTGCCCCTCTAAGAACCTTAACTAGGGCAGATTGAGCCAGGCTTTGTCCCAGGACATCAAAGGTCAGAGGATTGGCAGACATTTTCTTCCAGTATAGAAACAACTCATCTCAGCCTCTGGTCAGAGAGGGATACTGGACCTGCAATTTCATGCCTATACAGGACTCCTGGAAGAGGAAGGACCTTATACCATCGCAGGTTGGCACTTTCTTTGTCATCTTAGAGAGTTGTCTCATGCACTGGGGATGACTTGTCCAGGGTCACGCTTCTAGGATATGTCCTAGGTAGGACCAGAACCCAGGTCTCCCCGGTTCAGACACTAGCTCTCTATCCACTATAATACACTGCTTTTTAGCACCTAGTTAGCAAGAAAACTTAATTAAAATATATAGTTCTAATTTTTATTGGGGGAAGGGCTTAGGGGTGAGAGGAGAGATTGTGATAGTGTAGTGATAGGAAAAAAAGAAATACAAGAGGGTCACTGAAGCATCTTTTTAAAATGCAGGGTTATTGTGAGGACCAAATGAGGTATTTGTAGATAGCAAACCTCAAAGCACTACATCTATCATCTCTCAATCCATTATTGTTGTTTTACTATAATATCATATATTACATTTATTACTGTATTCTTTATTATTATTTTATATATAATCCTCTTTTTCTGTTCTATTTTGTATATGGAAATGCTTTCTCTGTCTTTTTTTGTCTGTTTCTTTATTTGGTATTTGTTAATTTAAAGTAAAGTAAAATAAAATATGATAAAATAAATGGGAAGCTCCTAGCATTTCCTCCCTTCTTTCCTTAAAGATGATCCCAGGTGAGTTCGTCACTTGTCCAGCCCTGCCCTCTTATCTCCTCCTCCCCGCAATGGCATCCTCAGCAGTGCCCATAGAGTCTGCTGTTCCAAGATCTCTCCCCTCCCTTCCTGGCCAAATTTCACTCTATTTTCCTCAGGCATTAAAATTGTTCTCCCACCCCTTCTCACCATTCTGGTCGGGTCTTTGAACTTGTCGTGGCCAGGCACTGTAGATGTTGTGTTGAGAACGAAGTCTATTAGAGATAGGCCAGTGGAGGCGCCTCTGGTGGGAGCGGTGTAGGTGGGAATGAACTCTCTGGGAGGCCTCCAGAGCACTCATCCTCATAGTCAATCTGTTGATCCTCCTGGAAAGAGCTTGTCAGGAAGAAAGATCACAGGGTCATAGATTTAGAGATGGAAGGGACCTTAGTCCCTTGGACTAAGTTGGACATCTAGTCCAACCCCTTCATTTTACAATGAAGGAAAATGAAGCCCAGGTAGGTTAAGTGACTTAGTCATGATCAAAAAGATCTCAAGTATCAGAGCCAAGATTTTAACCCAATTACTGGAGGAGAGAGAGGAAAAGAAATCAATAGCTTTAGAAGTCTTTAGACATTCCTTCCTACGAAGGATCTTAACCAATTGGCCTCATCCCAGGTAAATGGACGGCAGGTCTTGCTCATGTAGGTAGATGTCTAAGAGTTGATGATACCAATCACTTCTCCCATGGTCTTACAAGAACTCTAAAGGAACAGGGATAATCAGAAATCAAGCCAACTTCAGATTCCCCAAATTCCTTCCTCCTTTGGTCCTTACTCTACCCATCTGGTCAGAGCTGTACAAGGTTGCGGTATGTGTGGGTCGGGGCTTGGCTGCAGTATATTGAATTCACACCCATACTTTAGAGCAGAGGTTCTTAGCCTGGGATCCATGGTGATACATCGATAGATTTCAGGGTGTCTAGGAATTTGGATGGGGAAAATTACATCTTTATTTCAACATATTTTATTTCTTTTGTAATCTTACATATTTTGTTTTATGTATTTAAAAACATTGTTCTGAAAAAGGGTCTATAGACATCACAAGACTGCCAAAGGGATCCATGACACACAAAAGGTAAAGGATCCTTGATTTAAAGACTAATTCAAAAGCCAAATTCTCCATCAAGGCTCCTGATCTCCTCAGACCTCACCTTTGCCATTTTGTTTTATACCACTCTGAGGGATTTGTCATGTAATAATGCACACCATAGTCATCTCTCCCACCAAAATCCTCTTCCAATGCCTCATCATAGCCTAGAAGTGGACCAGAGGCCTCAAAGGATAGGCCCACAGAACACAAGCTCTCTAGGATCTTACCAAGCCAGAAGGTCATTGAAGAGAGGCCTAGTGTTGGACCATCTTAACTTGGGATTTGTCAACTTGTTTAAAATAGTCTGACAATTTTATTTTAATGTTTCCCTTGGAATCCTATGTATTTGATGCATTTAAAAATGTCAGTCTGAGAAGCAGTCCATAGACTCCCTCAGATTGCCAAAGAGGTCCATGACACAAAAGATTAAGAACCCCTTTACTAGATGATCTCTGAGGTCCCTGCCAGTGTAGTAAGGGATGGAAAAAGTAGAGGAGACTCAGAAGGTTACTTTTCTTCCTCCTCCCTCTTTTCCTGACCAATTCCCCAGGTCTTTGTCTCCCTTTACCTCTTTCACCCAAGTTTCCTTCTAAGATTCAGTTCAAGTGTCATCTGCTTTTCCAGTGTCTCCCCATCCTTACCCCATCTTGGCTGCTATATTTCTTGTATTTACTTGATTTGAATTTTGTGTATAGCTATATATGTAGAAGTTGTTTTACCCATTAGAAGGTAAGATCCTTGAGAACTAGGACTGGTTTATTTTTGTCTTTAGATCTTTAGAACCTAGCCTGGCACACAGTAGATATTATGCCCTTAACTCTAATCCTGGCCCAACAATGGCTCCTTGACTTGGCTGGGCAGAAGGTACTCTAATGTGTATCTTTAGGCACTACACCACTACCTTCCTCAGGAATCAGACCCCAGCTCTTACCTCTCCTCTTCTGCAATGATCTTCCCAACACCATTCCTAGAAGCATCATCAAGATAATGCCCAGGGTGGCCGGGATCAGGATGTGAAATCCCCCATCCTTCCTCACAGATGATCCAAAGTAGGAGGCACTGGAGGGAGTAGGGAGAGTGGTAGATAAGGGAGTATAGAGAAGCAGGTGAATTTAAGCAAGGAATACTGGATGTCATCAAAACCTAAGGACAGTTGTTAAGAGTTTTTGCAGAATAGAATTTGTGCCCCCACCCCATCCCCACAATTCTCACATAATCCAAATTTGCCAGCACGCCAATAGCCAGAAATCTTCCGTAACGTGTACCCTCATAGATTGCCTTTTTTGCCCAGTGTTCCCCACTGAAGCATCTCACCAGTTCCAGACAGCCCAAGTTCTTGACATGGTGTAATGGAAAGAGTACTGTATTTGTAATCAGATGACTTGAGTTCCAACCCCAATTCTGCAAAGTTCTACTAGTGTGACCCTATGCAAATCACTTCTTACTTCTGGGCTTCAGTTTCCATCTTTGAAAAATAAGGGGTTTGCCCTTGATCAGTGGTCTCTAAGCTTTTTTGATATTGAACCCCATCAATACATTTTTTTTCTTGTTGGCTATGCTGGTGGGGGACAGATTTTCCCAATGGCATCTGTATTCCTGCTGAAGTTGGTACCCAGGTTGGGGTTAGGTTACAACTGCCCTGAGTGGCTGGCTGAGAAGAGCAAAGGTTGGGAACCCATGGAGGAGAGGAAGGAGATGGAGTAGAAGAGAATGCTAGGTTATAATGAGTAAAGATTAGCTTGGTTGTGTTGGAGAGAGATGTCATGATTCACTAACCTGGAGAGGATGGGATTTGACCCATCTTCCCACCTTCTGATTGGCTGATCATAGGGCCCTTGGGGTAAAGCTTTGTACTTCTGGGAGTCATGCCTTGCCTTCCTCTTCTTTGGAGAATCCTTCTGGAAAGCTTTCTAAGTTCTCTTCTATCTCTGACAGTCTGCTATTTTTGACCTTCCTCTCTCCTCTCCATCTAGAGGCAGCTAGGTTGTACAATGGATAGAACATAGTGCCTAGACTCAGGAAGATCAGAGGTCTAATGTGTCATCAGACACTTCTTAGCTGTGTGATCCTGGGCAAGATGCTTTACCTATCTGCCTCAGTTTCCTCATCTGTGAACTGAGTGCTATAATAATGGAGATAATATATGTAAAGTGCTTAGCACAGTTCCTGTCACATGGTAGGTGCATAATAAATATTTATTTCTTCCCTTCCCACCCAAAGGAACTGGTCCTTCCCTCAGTCACTTCTAGGCACTCTTTAGGGAACTAATGATCTTATCCTTATTAATGGTGAAATGAGATCAAATGAGATAATAAATGTAAATCATTATATAAAGGCTCATCATTGTTGTCACAGTCATCATAATTTTACTTCCTAAATCAGATGTTCCACAACAGCCTTCTGGAGAGAGCTCCAACAGGGCAGACTTTTAGGGAGGGGTCTTAAGCACTGGAGTGGGTGAAGGGATCTTTCCATGATGTGTCCTAAATCACATAGGACCCTGACCCTGCTTTCAGAGTTGCTGCCAGGGCTTACCTTTCACTCTGTAGCCTGGTGTGATGAGAGTAACTGGAAGTGGAGGACCTGAGTAGTCTCCTCAGGTATAGAGTCTTTGAGATCACAGAGGATTGGGAGGTCTGGGAGGTGGCTGCTGCTGCTAAGGTAGTTCCCTGAGGCAGGACAGAGCTGGTAGGAGAAGGGTCCAAGGGTGGTTGGGTTTGCCATCGTGGGGTCCTTGGTGCTGAAGTGCTTGTTGCTGGGAGATTAAGGAAATGGCAATGCCAATTGCTTGCCAACCCCGAGGTTACAAGAGGCTCATTATAGATCCCTGGAGAGCCAGTGTGGCCAACACATACAAATGAGCCTTGTAGGAGACTGGGAGAACCAGGAAAGGACCCAGATTCCGGATTGGAGATGTCTGTCCTGGTTCTATTCTGCTCAACCATCCTTTCAAAGGAACGACACCGTTTTCTGAATGGTGCTCCTAATTCATCCACCACACCACCCCCTAGTGTTGATATCTAGTCACTGCAATCAAGGATTGAGGCTCAGGTTGTGTCAAGTGTGGACACTGAACAGGAGAGTGAGAGGAGATGGCCAGCTTTCCATAAAGAAAAGGCCTATCAGTAAATCAATTCTCTCGTACAAGCCCCTTTGAGAATTAGATACATTTGGCCCCTATAAGATCTTGAGGATGGGACAGTGCAAGTCCCCTCTTTCTATTCCCTTTTCCTACTTCCTCCTTTCCTGCCTCTTTCCTTTTCTCTCTTCCTCCTCCCCTCTTTTTAATTTCTTCTCTTTTCTCTCTTCCTTCCTCTTTTCCAATTTTCCTTGTTCTTATTCCCTACTTTTCCCTTCTCCCTCTTCCCTCCCTCCTTCCATTCTATCTTCATGTCTTCTTGCCCTCCTCTTTCTATCTTTTTCCTCCTTCTCCCCTGCTTCCTCCATCTCCATTCATCCTCATTCTCTTCCTTCCTCCCTCCTTTCCTCATGGGATTAACAAACCTGACCTTGGGTGGTGGGCAAAGAAGAAGAAACCTCATTGGATATCCATATCCAGGAAGGTGGAAGGGGTTCAAAGGAGCCAGGTTCCTCCCAGAAGGGGTTGTATTCTGTGGGGGCTGGGGGGAGAAAGATGACATGGTGAGCACTGGGGGCATAGGAATGAGGTCTGTATATTTTGGCTGGAGGGAGGGAAGTGAATGTGGGAGGTGGGGGAGGGGATGGGAAGAGGGAGTTAGGGGATGCTCTGTGGGGTGGAATGAAGCCCACTGAAACTAAAGAAATGTACATGGAGGAGACACAGGGCCAGAAGAAAAGGAATTGGATGAGGAAAGAGGCTTCCCAGAAGGGGATCTCTTACAGGGTGGTGTAAGAAGTAGGGAGGACTGTTGATTGGGGAAAGTTCCCTCTGATCATCAACCCCTCTTAATAGAAGTGAGGAAGACGGGAGGGGAATGGGGTGAAAGAAGAAGAGGTACAGAACACACATGAAAGCTACAATTGGTATAATTCTAAAGTAATGAGCCGGATTTGTGATATTCTCCTTGTTTGTTTCACTCCTTATCTTACATTTCTTTTCATTGTACCTCCTTCTCTTACTCTCCCCCATACCATCAACTAAAATTTTTAAGGGTTAATCATCTAGACTGTGGATTATAGTATTTTATGGATTCCCTTCTCCCATTCTTCCTCCTCTTTCTCTTACTCTCTTCTCTCCTTTTCTTCTCTTCTTTCTTTTCCCTTAAATTCTTCCCTTCCTTCATCTTTTCCTCTCCCTTCTTCTCCCCAAGTTAAATCTTCTTCTATACCACTTTCTCCTCTGAATTCCTTTTCTTGCTCTTCTTTTTTCCTTCTCTTCTCTCCTACTTTTCTTCTCCCTATCCTCCTCCACTTCCTCCTCAATATCATCCTATTCATTAACCTTTGGCCAGACCCTTATTTACTTGTCTTTCCTCAAGAAAATAAGTAAAAGCCATAAAGGGCATATACTTCACTCCTTATGAGCATCTTGAGAAGAAAATCTCAGGCTACATGCAAGTGAAACTGGCAGCTGAAATGATATTTGGGTATTACTGTGCATCCCAATTAGCCAGGTTTCCCATTCATTCCTGGCTTTACATTGGAGAACTGATGATTAAAAACATTGGTCTGAAAGAATGAGGGAGCTCATCCAAGTATTTGGTTGCCCTCACATTTCCAAGTGGGAAAGGAGATAACATCCACTTTCCTGGGAAATGAGGGTCTCTGACCATCCAGGACACCTACCAGGAGTGACTGTGAGAATCACTTTCCAGGTCTTCCCCTTCTCTGTATGCCTGCCCATTCCACAGGCATAGTTGCCATTGTCCTCTTCTTTCAGCTTCCTCAGCTCTACCAGGAACACATTCTGCTTAGGGAGTGGCTTCAGTGAGACTCTGCCCTTATAGTCCAAGTCCACAAATGGTGTATTGGACACTACCGTGGCACACAGTCTGGGCTTAATCTCCCGACAGAGATAATACCTCTGTGGGGGGTCCTTCAGTGGACACCTGATGTCAATGGATCCTCCCAGCTCTCCAGACAATGTTGTTTCTCTGAGGGGCTTCAGAGCCTCTGAGACTGCAGGGAAACAGAATTAGTGTAAAGAAAGTATTAGCTCCATCACAGGCTCAGCCCTGCCCCTCAGGTACTCAGACATTAATCTTGGTACAATATAGTCCTCCTTCTATAATTAACTCCAAAAAAGCAATGTAGTGCCATGGAATAAATACAAATATAATAATTAAAGTTCATATTTGAAAATGCTATAATGATGATAAGACATGAGATGATCTCTAGGATTTGAGACTCAACCAAAAATGAACTAAGATTATTAATAATTGATAAAGTAGCAGGATATAAAATGAATCCACAAAAAATCAATAACCTTTATGTATAATGTAAATAAAACTCAACATTAATAGATAGAAAAAGAAATTACATTCAAATTATCTGCAGAATGAATAAAGTATCTGGAAGTCCATCTACCAAGACACTCCCAGGACTTATATGAATGAAAGAACAAAACACTTTTTTCTCCTTCTTTCTTTCTTTCTTTCTTTCTTTTTTCCCTTCTTTCTTTCTTTCCTTCCTTCCTTCTTTCTTTCTTTTGTGTCCTTCCTTCCTTCCTTTTTTTCTTCCTTTTAGAAATAAAGGAAGACAAATAATTTGAGAGATGTTAATTATCCATGGTTGTACTGTGCAAAAATAATAGAAATGGGGACATTACCAAAATTACTTTATAGATTTGATGCCATACCAATCAAACTACTAAGGGATTATTTTATAGTACTAGACAAAACAATAAGAGAATTTGCCTGGAAGAACAAAAGGTCAAGAATATCAGGGGAAAGAATGACAAAAAGGTGAATGAAAAGGGTCTGGCAATAACAGATCTTAAATTATACTATAAAGTAATACTCATTAAAAATAACTTGGCAGTGCTTCAAAAATAGAAAAGTTGGTCAGTAGAACAGATAAGGTTAAGTAAGAACTAGAATCAATTGAATATAATAATATACTGTTCAAAAACACTAACCACTGGGATGAGGACTGTCTAGTTGATAAAAATCTCTGAGAAAAGTGATGAAAAGTAGTCTGACAAAAATTAGATTTGGATCAACACCTTTTTCTACATACCAGTACAAAGTCCAAATGGATATTTGACCTAAATACAAAAAGTCATGTCACAAAAACAGTTGGTTGACAAAGGAAGGAGATACTTTTCACAATTATAGCAAAATAAAAAGTTCTACTAACAAGGGACAGAAACGATCATAAAAAATAAAGTGAACAATTTTGGTTACATAAAATTAGAAAGCTTTTGCACATGAAAAGCAAATGCAGTTAGAAAGAGAAGGGAAACCATTAATTTTGGGGGGAATTTTGACAAAAAATTTATCTAATAAAGATCTAATATCCTATATATAAAGAATTGGCTAAAAAAATGAGAATATGAGCCATTTCCCAACAAATTAATGTTCAAAGGATATGAACAGATAGTTCTCAAAGGACTACCTTATAAACAACCATATAAACATGTTCTAAATAACTAATAATAGAAAAAAATACAAATGAAAGCAAACTCAAGGGGCAGCTAGGTGGCTCAGTAAATAGAGCTCTAGCCTTGGAGTCAGGAGGACCTGAGTTCAAATCCTGCCATAGACACTTAATACTTACTAGCCGTGTGACCTTGGGCAAGTCACTTAACCCCGATTGCCTCACCAAAAAAAAAAAAAGCAAACTCATACTTATCATCCATCAGATTGGCAAAGAGGAAAATAGCTCTTGTTATAGGAATTGTGGGAGGAAGGCACATTTGTGTACTGATGGTGGAAGTGTGACTTTATTCACACTAGAGTTCAAATTTAAAACTAAGAGTTTAATTGACTTGTCCTGGGTCACACAGCTATTATGTGTCAGAGGCAGGGCTTGAACTTGGATCTTCCTGACTCGTGGGTCAATAGGCTGTGCTATATACATATATACATCCATTCATCACATATATATCATAGTTGAATATTGATAGTTCTTTGTTTGCTAAGTTAAAGACTCCTTCAAAGAAAGAAATCCAAACTATCAATGACCATATTAAAAAATAAACCCTCCATATCACTAATAATTAAAGAAATATAAATGAAAGCAATTCCGAAGTTCCATCTCCTACCCATCAGACTGATAAAATGGCAAATGTTGGAGACGTTGTGGAAAAACAGGCACACTAATGAATTGTTGGTGCAACTGTGAAATAAGCTAGTTATTCTAGAAAGAAATTTGGAACTGTGCCAAAAAAAGGTTATTAAACTACTAAGTTTATCATCCAAAGAAAGAGGAAAAAATTCATATGTACAAAAATATTCATAGACAGTTAATAAACATTTGTTAAACGCCTATTGAATACTAGGCTGGGGATACTGGGGATAAAAAAAAAAGGCAAAAGAAAGTCCCTGCTTTCAAGGAGCTAATAGTCTAATGAAGGGGGGAGACAATATGTAACAATTATGTACAAATTAGCTATGTCAGGATAAATTAGAAATAATCAATAAAGAGAAAGAACTAGAATTAAGAGGGATCAGGAAAGTCTTCTTGGGGAAGGTGAGATTTTAGCTCAGATTAAAAGAAAGTCAGAAAAACCAGGAAGTAGTAATGAGGATGAAGAGCATGCAGACATAGGGAACAGCCAGTGAAGATGCCTAGAGCTGTGAGATAGAATGTCTTGTAAGAAGATCGCTTTGACAGCTGAATGGAAGATGGACTGGAGTGGGGAAAGACTTTCTAGCAGAAAGACCAAGCAGCAGACCATAGCAATGGTCCAGGCTGGAAGTATATGCAGCAAGGTGATTGTTGGGTCAGAGGAGAGAAGGTGGCATATGTAAGATATGTTACAAAGGTAAGATCAACTGTCCTTGGCAACATTGGATATAAGGGATGAGAGAAAAATGAGTATTTGGGGATAACCCTTACATTGTGAACCTAGGGTGATTGGGAGGATGATGGTACCCTCAATAATAGTAGGGAAGTTAGGAAAGGGGAAGGATTTGGGAGGAAAAGATATTGAGTTCAGTTTTGGACATGTTGAATTTAAGATATCTATAGGACATTTAGTTGGAGATGTCAAAGAGGCAGTTGGAGATATGAGACTGGAGTTCAGCCAAGAGGTTAGGGCTGGATCAGTAGATTGGAGAATAATCAGCATAGACATGATAATAAAACCCATGGGCACTGATGATATCACCAAGTGAAACAGTAGGGAAAGAAGAAAAAAAAAGGCCCAGTACAGAATCCGGGGCAGGCAGGGTGGGGGGGGGGGCGGCCTAAGGTGAGCAGACATGACCTGGAAGAAGATCCAACAAAGCAGACTGAAAGAAGCATTGAGATAGGTAGGAAGAAAACCAGGAGAGAGTAGTTTCACAAAAACCAAGAGAGGAGAGATCAGGATGGAAATAAGGATAATCAACATTCTCAAAGGCTGCAGAGAGGTCAAGGATGAGGATTGAGAAAAGGCTATTAGATTTGTCAGTCAATCAGTCAGTCAATAAACATTTATTAAGCACTAACTGTGTGCCAGGCACTGTGCTAAGCACTAGATTTTGAAATTAAGAGTTCTTTAGTAACTGGAGAGATTATGTTCAGTTGAATAATGAGGTTGAAAGCCAGACTGTATGTAGATGGTTAAGAAGACAGTGAGAGGAAAGAAAGTAGACAGCCTTCTTAATGAGTTTAGCCACAAAAAGGAAAGAGAGATATGGGATGTCCAGCTAGCAGGGTTGGATGGATTAAGTGAGGGGTTTCTTGAAGATAGGTGAAACATGAATATGTTTGTAGACAGTAGGGAAACCATCAGTAGACAGAATGATTGAAGATAAGTGAGAGAGTGAGGATGATAGAAAGGACAATCTGCTGGAGAAGATGGCATAAAATGGTCTCACTTGGCCATATAGAAGGCCTTGGCAAAGAGAAGGGACAACTATTCATGGGAGGAGCGAAGGAGGAGATAGGGGTGGAAAGGATGTGAGGGATATAAGATAAGGAGAAAAGAGAGCTCTCAGCTAATGTCCTCAATTTTTTTTATAGCAACTCTCTTTATAGTAGCCCCAAACTAGAAACTAAGGGAATGAACTATTGAGGAATAGATAAACAAATTACAGTATATAAGCAAAATGCAATAATATTGTGCCATAAGAAATGATAAAATGGACAATTCAGAGGAAACTGGGAAGATCTCTATGATTTGGTATAGAGAGAAGTGAATAGGATTAAGTGAATAATCTTTACAAAAGAAAGATATCTTTAAAAAAACTTTAGAACTCAGATGAATATAATGATAAGCAATTGGTCCATAGGACTGAAGATGAAACATATCACCCACCTCCTTCTAGAAAAGAAAGCTACTTAAAATCCAGAAAGAAAGGTGATTTTGGACATAGCCAATGTTGGAATTAGTTTTGCCAGACTATTTGTCTGGCCAAGTTGTTGTGAGGTTTTTGTTTATGTCTTTTGAGTTTTAAAAATTGTTTACTTTGGGGTGGGACAATGAAAGGGAGAGAATAAATGCTTATAAATATGAAATTAGAAACCCTCTTTAACCTTGAGGCCAAAGACAAATGGTCCTCCTCCTTTCCAACTCTCTTTTTTTTCCCCTTGTGAAATAGAATATTATATGGCATAGAAGCACAAGGTCAGAAGTTTAGAGCTGGAAGGAATCTCTGAGGTCATCTCTTCTATTCTGAGGAATGCCAGGAGACCCCTATTCCCAAATCCCTACTCCCAACATCTCTTTCCTCATCTACCTGCTTTACCACCTAGAATTTCACCATTAAATTCCTTTAGGTTCTGAATACTTTTCAGTCACCAAGAGACCTTCATCAGAATGACAATAAGTCAAATTGGGGTAAATTCTTAAATTTTTAGCCAATAATATCTCATCAGAAAGGTCAAATTCTAGCCAGAGTGAGAAAAGGTATATCAGAGGCATAGATTTAGGATTGGAAAGGGTGTTAGTAGTCATCGAGTCCCATTCCATCCTTTCATAGATGAGGAAACTGAGGCAGACAGAGGTAAAGTGAATTGCCCAGGGTCAGATAGTTAGCAATTATCTGAGTCAGGTTATGAGCCCAAGTCTTCCTAACACTATCCACAAAGTTATGCTACCTCCCAAGTTATCTGAAAGGGAAGCAGGAGGGCATCCTCTGGTGCTGCGCCTCAACCCCTGGAGAAAGCAAAGATCTGGTCGTTCCCTGAAGCACTTACTTGGTAAGAAGAAAAGTATCCAGAGAAAGACTTCCATGACTCCGTTGCAGGAACAGATCACATCCCAGCCTCACCTGGGCTAGAGAGGAAGAGGGGACACACAGGCTACCCAGGAAACTTTCACTCTCTAAGACTGATGTTTCTGGTCTTGATGAAGAGCAAAAGTTAGAAACCAGGAAATAGTAGACAGTCTTGTTTACAAACTCCCTCATGCTGAAAGAAAAATATCAGCTGATCACAGAGGAAATTACATATGCGGTTGAAAGGGGGTGAGAATGAACACAGGTCCTAGGAGCACAGCGTAAGCTTATTACTAGTGGTAGTTGCTAGTAATAATGTTTCTTTACTGATCTTCAGCATTTATTGAGTACCTACTGTGTGCCAGGCACTGTGTTAAGTGCTGGCAATACAAAAAGAGGCAAGATTGTCTCTATTCTCACGGAGCTTATAGTCTAATGGGAGACACAACATGCAAAAATATATAAAAAGCAGCTATATACAGGATAAAGAGTAAATAATGAAGAGGAAATAATAGAGAAGGCTCTAGAATTAAGAAGGGGTGGGGAAGGCTACCAGTTAAAGATGCAATTTAAGTTGGGCCTTAAAGGAAGCCAGTGAAGTCAGCAGGCAGAGCTGAGGTGGGAGAGCATTCCACACATAGGAGAGAACCAGAGACAAATGCCTGGAGCTGAGAGATGGAGTGTCTTGTTTGTGAAATGGCCAGAAGACCAGTGTCACTGAGTTGAAGAGCACATGTCAAGTAGTAAAATGTAAGAAGGCTAGAAAGGTAGGAGGGGGCTAGGTTATGAAGGGCTTTGAATGCCAAACAGGGCATTTGGTCCTGGGGGTGATAAGCAGTCACTGAAGTTTATTGAGTAAGGGAAGGTGACAAGATCAGACCTGCCCTTTAGGAAAATCACTTTAGTGGCTGAATTAAGGATGAATTGGAATGGGGAGAGACTTGAGGCTGGCAGACCCACCAGAAGGTTATTACATTACTATAGACATGAGGTGATGAAGGCCTGGACCAGAGTGGTGGCAGTGTCAGAGAAGAGAAGGGGACATATTCGAGAGATGTTGTAAAGATTAAGTCAATAGACCTTGGTAATAGCTTGGATATGGGGGTGGGTGAGAGAGAGTGAGGAATCCAGGATGACCCCTAGGTTGGGAGCCTGGGAGACTAAGATGGTGGTGTTCTTGACAGTAATAGAGAAGGCAGGAGTGGGGGAGGATTAGAGGGGAAAATAATGGGTTCCATTTTGGATGTTGAGTCTACAATATCTATTGGACGTTTAGTTCAAAGTATCTGAAAGGCAGTTGGAGATGAGAGATTGAAGGTCAGCAAGGAGATCAGGGAAGGATAGGTGGACCTGAGAATCATCAGCATAGAGATGGTGATTAAGTCCATAGGACCTGATGAGATGGTCAAGTAAAATACTATAGAGGGAGAAGAGAAGAGGGTCCGGACAGAACCTTGAGGGGCACTTATGGTTAGAGGGTGTGATCTGGAGGAGGATTCAGCAAAGGATATAGAAGGAGCAGTAGGATAGTTGCATGGGAAACAGGAAAGCATGGTTTCCCCAAAACCCTAGATAGAAGAAATTATTAAGGAGGAAAGAGTGATCAATAACATCAAAGGGTGCAGAATGAGGATCAAGAAAAAGCCATTGGGCTTGGCAACTAAAAGACCATGAGTAACTTTGGAGAGAGCAGTTTGGTTAGAATGATAAGATTGGAAGCCAGATTATAAGGGGTTAAGAAGAGAGTGGGAGGAGAGAAAATGGAGGCTCTTATTGTAGATGGTTTTTTCAAGCTTAGCTACAAAGGGCAGAAGAGATAGAGGACGATAGTCAGCAGGGACAAAGGATCCCGTGAGGGGTTTTTTTCCAGGATGGAGGAGACATTGACACATTTGTGGTTGGGAGGGAGTGAGCCAATAGATACAGAGAGGTTGAAAACAAGTGAGAGTGGGGATAACAAAGGGGCCAATCTGTTGGAGGAGATGGATAGAATAGGATCACTTGAATAAGCAGAGGTTAACCTTGGTAAAGAATAAGAGCACTTTCTCCTTTTCTATTTGTATCCCCAGCACTTAGTATAGCATTAACTTGTAATATTTAATAACTTACATAGTTAAAATCTAATAAATGCTTTCCCTCCCATTCTATCTCATTCTATTCTACTCCATTCTCCCATCTCTATTACACACAGAGATTTTTTTCAGAGCAGGTAAGCTCACGGTCTTCCCAGCCCTATTTTCAAATGTCTAAGGATATCCTATGGTTAAAGATCCACAAGGTGTAGCTCATTATCAATCAACTGAATGCTATGGAAGCTGAAAAAATTAATGCCATCTTAGACTACATGTAAAAAGAGGCATAGTAGCCAAGGATTGGGGAAGGCAGGGTGGGGAGGAGGGTTACAGTCCCGCTGTATTCTGCCCTGGTCAGAATACAACTGTCAGTTCTAGGTGTCATGTTTTACACAGAACATGAATAAATCAGAAAGCATCCAAAAGATAGCAACCACAGTTTTTGAAGGGCTTTATGGTCATGGCAAAAGAGAGTTCATTGAAGGAATTGGAAACAAGTAGCCTGCAGAAGAGGAGACTGCGTAGGGACATGATAGCTGTCTTCAAGTACACCATATTACTCCTCTTCACACACATTATGGTCTAGACAAACTGGCCTTCTTGCAATATATTCCTCGGACGTGACGTTTCATTTCCTATCTCTATTGGAGGAACGCTTTTGCAAATACTGTTGGAATGTTCTCTGTCTTCATTTCCTCCAGTTGGGATCCCTAATTGTCTTTAAAGTTTGGCTTACTGGCTACTTTATGCCTTTTCTGATCTAACTCCCACCCAAAGTCAGTACTTGTCTCGGTGCCTGAAACATTTTGTTGGCCAATTATTTAGTCATATCTGACTCTTAATGACTCCAAGAACCATACTGTCCATGAGGTTTTCCTGGCAAAGATACTGGAGTGGTTTGCCATTTCCTTCTCCAGTGAAACATAGTAAGCCTGGAACATAGTAAAACTCATTGACTTGTCTTGATTATATCTTACACATTGTCTCCCCTGATAGAATATAAGCACCTCAAGGGCAGGGGCTGTTTCATTCCTGTCTTTGTATCCCAACACCAAACAGAATGCCTGGCACATAGTTGGCACTCAATGAATGTTTGCTTGGCTCTGCTAGTGACTAGTTGTGTGACCTTCAGCAAGCCACTTCAATTATCTATAAAACTATAGGGTTGGACTCTGCAAGTTCTGAAGTTCCTCTTAGCTCTAATGTCTCATGGTTTCCTATGAAGTCTTCTCAAAGGCCTCTTCTCACAGTTATTCTTCCCCACAACCTACCCACACATCTGGCAAGGAGTACGGCTGCTGTCCAGCACTGATCTTCTCCATCTTAGGATATGGCTGTTGGCACACAGGATATGGTCATACTCTCTTTTGGGTTAGAATACATAGTTAGAATAGAAGCACCTCAAAAAGAGATGCTTCAGGGACAGCTAGGTGGCACAGTGGATAGAGCTCTGGCCTTGGAGTCAGGAGGATCTGAGTTCAAATCCAGCCTGAGACATTTGACACTACCTGTGTGACCCTGGACAAGTTACTTAACCCCTCTTGCCTCACCAAAACAAAACAAACAAATAAAAGAGATTCTTCAAAGCATACAAGGTGCCACATGGAGGGCTAGGGGACAAGTAGTTAATGAACAATGGAGGGGTGGGGGAGCAGGAAGAGATGGCAATATCTCAAAATGGGAGTCAAGAGACTTGAAATTTGTCAAAGAAAAAATATTGACATTTGTATTCTGCATTGCCAGAAACAATTTCTATTCATTTAACACTATTTGAAATCCAAGTCATTCCATCTCAGAGAGAACTATCCAAGCTGACAGAATTCTACCCCATTCCGTCAGACATTTTTCTAACACAAGATGATAAAAATATTATTCATAGGAACCTCGAACAAGGAAAAGGCCACAATATGATTAAAATGCAATTTGGAGTTAACATTCTATTCTACCTACCAGAATGAAAATAAATTCATTTTCTAAAATTACTTAATTCTTTCTTTGACCACTTTTCTCAAGGGCTTTCCCAGAGTAATTAAAAGAACCTCCTCTCAGAGTTCTATACACAAATCCCTTCAGAATGGATGAAGAGGAGGTTGCTTGAGTTTGCTGTAAATATTTAACAACTGGCTCTCCTCTTCCTCCCTAAAAGTATGCTCAAGATACGCCTTTAAGTTTAATCTGTATTATTGACATTTTCCCATCACTTTCTTAAGTGTAGACAATTGACAGAACAATATATCAAACCATGATTTGGAGCATTTGCTAATTTCTGGGGTGTAAATAGCCATGATGAGATTTTAACAACCAGCTCTCCCAAACAGTTAAGAGGTGGCTCCAGCCCACACTTGGAAGTCTTATTCCTTCTGGGGATGGGGAAGTCAATGATCTTAATGAGACAAGAGACACTTTTTGTTCTGAGTCAGGTAATCTCCCTTCATCCACTTTCCCATTCTTGACATTTCCTACACTTTGCTAAATGACAAGGTCTGAAAATGATTTTAGAAAAACATGTATTTCTTAATATTTTCAGTTGGAGATTTTTAATAGACTTCCATGTTCTAACCATGGCCCTGAACCAACATTCTGGTTGACTTCAAGTCAAATCATTTAGCCTCCTTGGGGCCTAATTTGCTCAAGCTTAAAATCAGGGTATAAAAATAGCTACCCTGAGCTTCCACAGGCTTGTTGTGAGGATAATAATAGCTTACATGTATCTAGCACTTTAATTATACAAGGTACTTTCTTCACACCAGCTCTGTGAGAGAACTCTCTCCTTCCTCGTTTAGGTTTTCTGGCTCCCCTGGCATCCTTCAGATCTCAGCTAAAATCCCATCTTCTGCAAGAAGCATTTCCCCACAAAATTATCTCCAATTAATCCTGTATTTAGATTGTGTGTACATGGTTGGGTTATTTTCATGTTGTCTCCCCAGTTAGATTGTGAGCTACTTGAGGGCAGGGATTATGTTTTTGCCCTTTTTTTTTTCTATCCCCAGAGAAGAGAAGGAAGGAATAAGCATTTGTATGGTACCTGCTATGTTATTATCCCCATTTTATAGGCTAGGTACTGTGCTAAGTGCTTTTTTTTTTTACA